GAAATTTCCTGGCTTTTTTCACGATAACTGAGGTCTAGGGGCTATTTAACTACCATATAAGTGTTTCTGTTCAGTCTGCTCATTTTATCGCGTTTAATCACAGCTGTCGTCGTTTTTTTGTCTGGCAGCGGCAGCAGATATGCGATCAAATTTCTAATTTGAGGCTGTATTACGTCGATTCTGGCACCCAACATCACAACAAGATGATATTTTAAGCTCCTTATGTAGCCGAATCTGCGCTGGTTTGAATGGGCCGCCTCCAGTTTCCCCTTTGTTTTGCTGCCTCCAGCTAGCGCTGTGACGTCGGCTGACCCTAGTTACCTGTGGTTGGCCAGGCCGTGCGTCACTCAGAACACAACAGGCCAATCAGAAGAGAGGCTCATGAATATTAATTAAACAGGCCAAAATCGACCTGTTCTCATAAGAGCTCCTGAGAGAGGAGCTGTAAAAATATATTGAGATGGTTTTTGGTACTTATAACGCAAATATATATTCTTAAGGACATCAAAACCTAAAATAAAAATAAATAAATAAATTTTAAAAAAGGTGTACAATATGTGACCTTTAAAAAATACAGATATATTTTAACTGAAATTAACAGAGCAACTGAAAAGAAAGACACTAAATAAATTGCAATGGCTCTTTTTTTCTCTTACATTTTCTGATACGGTCCTCCAGTAATTAAATATAAAAAGCATTCCATAGCATCCCATATTCAATTAAATTTAAGTTTAAAAATCTACAAATCTAAAAAATAAGTACATTTAAAAAACAATTATAAAGGAAGAAAAAAATCTTGCACATTCCTTTAGTTTGTAAGAAATCCTGTATTTATTAAGGGTTCAGTCATGTAATTTTCTTTAAATTGTTTCCTATTTCCATCACATCTTTGTTTATTTATTGTTCTGTATTGTGTTCTTTAAATATATATTTTTTTAAATGACCCCAAAATGCAAATATTTTAATTTTTTGTTTGTTCCTTTGGGGGGTGGTACATATGTAAATGTATAATTGTTTAATTGAATATTCACGTGAAAGCAATTGCAGATATGGTCATTTTGATACCTTCAGCAAAAGTATCATTCTTTTTGACACAAGCATCACTGATCAAGATACTATAAATATGTATGTGTATTTATAGCAGCATATTTTATTGCCATTCTCAAAAGACCCTATTGATTTTGTGAAACATAAACACTCACCTCCATCAACCTCTTTCCCACACAATACATTTGCATGAGATTTTTATCTTTTCCACCATGTCACCTTATAAAATGTTATAATCTCACCACAAGGAAACACATTCACAGGGTCATTCCCCCTATGCAGCAAGTTTAACATGTATACATAATGCAGAAGGAAAACAAAAAGTACAAACAATGCTGTACTGACAGTGATGATGCTGCAGGGCAAATGAGTTCAAGTGTGCTCAGTTGGACATTATCGTTTAAAGGAGTAGTTCACCCAAAAATGAAAATTTTGCCTCAGGCCATCCAAGATGAAGGTGATTTTGTTTCGGTTATCAGAACAGATTTGGAGAAATTTAGCATTAGCCTACTTGTTCACCAATGGATCCTCTGCAGTGAATGGGTGCCGTCAGAATGAGAGTCCAAACAGCTGATAAAAAACATCACAATAATCCACAAGTGATGCACACGACTCCTCAGTTAACGTCTTGTGAAGTGAAAAGATGCATGTTTGTGATAAACAAGTCCATCACTGAGAGGTTTTTAACTTTAAACCATAACTTGTGGTCAAAACACGAGTCCATAATCCATAATAGCACTTTCTCCATGTGAGAAAGTCCATCCCCTGACTCCTGTCTATCCTTTCACATCAAAATCCAACAACATATTTGTTTAGAACTCTTTTGGACTGTTTTCATTTGTAAATGGTTCTTGATCTGTGCATATTTATCTCCTGATTCAGATGAGGCAACTTTTTTCAGGAGCAAGCAATGTTATGAAGTTAGGACTTGTTTTTTATATAGCTGAAAGCAACAGTTAAAATGATCTACATCTTGTTAGGGTGAGTGCATTTTTAGAAATCTTTCATTTTTGAGTAAACTATTCCATTAAGGTGTAAAGTCTATGCGAAATAGTGAAATCCAAGGCCTTTGACAGAGGAATCACTGAGAAGAATTCCTTTTCTGTCATTGTAACTCATCTGATGGTCCATGAACAAGAGTGCCCACAAGCTGTTCACACCTCCCACAGACTCTCGTAATGGTATTTTGCTGCAGGCCTTTGCAAGCCGGTGTCTATTGTTTAGCATATGGCGCATGACATCAAAAAACAGAGCAGGTGTGAAATAGTTGGCTGTATCTACTGAGGTTAGTTTTAATAACTTCAGCCAATAAAGAACACACAAAAACGGTGGTAATTTCTGTGGGATTGCATATTCTCTTTTGTTCTGAAATTAAATTCCAGTGAATTGTTGTTGAATTATGTTTAACGTGACATTTCAACTACTGAATAGCTTTATTTGACCCTCTAACTCTAGCACTTTCTATTCTATAAATGTAAATAAATAGCTTGTGACGTATAGGAATCTCTACAATGTATGCACAAGAATGGCCTGCAATAAACCCTGTACAATATAGACCCTGGTATAATATTTGATCTTTTAATATCTTTGTCTCCACCCACACTTTGAGATGCCCATCCTGAGGTTCACTATAGCTCCTGCGGTCAGATCCATCCCAGACTTGTGGCCCGTGTGTGAACATGAAAATTCCACTAATCCCTCTGATTGCATATTTCATAGATTCTCCCAATTTTCTATTTTATTAGAAGTCATTGTAATATAATGGTTCTATTTTAACACCAAATTATTCAGTACTATCATTAATACAATGTGGATGGATTAAATCTGTTTAAATGAATTTTTGTGCATACATGTGTATGAATGCATGCTATTTAAAATCTTTTGACAGTCCAAGAAAGCAAGTTTCACCTACTGAAATGGCGATTTCTTCCTCATCTACCTAAACGATTCCCACTAATTTCTTTTTAACTGCCACAGTGAACATACATTTACAACAGAAGAATTCTGTTTCATTTCTGTTTCAACTTGGTGTCCAGTATACTTACATTTGATAAACATGATGAAGTGTGCTGGTCTTGCTTTGATCTATTTTTAAACTGCTAATAAAATCTATATCTATCTATCTATCTATCTATATTTTGTCTATTATAGATCAGTGGATTTGTTTCATTTTGCTATTTAATATGCATTATTGTTTATCAATAATTATTAACAGATATTTGTTTATAAAGAGCTCGCACTCTTATCGTGCCTTTCGTGTTACGTCACTTCCTTACCCTTTCTCTTCTTCCTTTCCGCGTCGGCCATTTGTGATAATCGGTAAGAACACCATGAGCTGTAGTTTACTATGATATTTTGTACTGTTTTGAGCTAACATTTAAAACATATATCTCACACCATTTATACACGGATGTGTTTTGTACCGCGTGTGTCACATATTCGCCAAATAGTCAGTTTTGTGCGCGTTTTATCGTGAGTGAATGGCAGCAGGGCCGAGTCGCTACACATGTGGGAGAGCAGCGCTCTCAGGCCCTGCGCCTGAGTGAACTCTCCCCGATTCAAATAACGTTACATGTTGAAAAATACAAAACTCAGTTCTGCTTCCAACTTGTATAGCAAGGTGTTTGTGTGTGAATAGAGCTGGTTTCTGCTTGGATATTGACTGATGTGATTGTTTGATGCAGACTGAGCTGGTTGACAGTCATCAAATAAAGTCAGGATGCAGAACGACGCTGGTGAATTCGTGGACCTGTACGTCCCCCGCAAATGGTGAGTTCAAATTGAACTGGAAATGTCATTTAAATCCTTGAAACACCTCGTCTGTGTTTATTTTGATAATATTGTGAACTGTACGCACAGTTCGTTTATCTAGAAACATATTTACAGTTAAAATACTGGTTAAATATTTTGTGAGCACATACTTGTATACAATTTGGGAACATCAATTTATTTATTCTTTTTTTTTTTTTCTAGCTCTGCTAGCAACAGAATTATTGGTGCTAAGGATCATGCCTCCATCCAGATCAACATTGCTGAGGTTTGATACCGTTTTTAACATTACAAAACTAGTCTTTTTGTTTATATGTGTATCTACACATGTATATATTATTAGATTGCATGCATATATTATTAAAATTCTAAAATGCAGTTTAGACCGCATACATGAATATACATGAAAAAAAATGTATGTTTTGCATTGACAAAACTGTTGGTATATATTGTAAGTGACACCAGCCAAAATGACAACTGTTAGATACCAATAGGTATATTAGTCTATTATTGTGATCTAACCAACAAAATCTCAGAGTTGTGATGATTAATGAGCTTTTCCTTATGGTTTTAACAGGTGGACAAGGCTACAGGCAGGTTCAATGGACAGTTCAAGACCTACGCCATCTGTGGTGCGATCCGTAGAATGGTATGTTCAAACACGCTTAAAGGAATAGTTCACCCAAAAATGAAAATGTAGCCTCCGGCCATCAAAGATGTAGATGGAGTTTGTTCCTTCATCAGAACAGATTTGGAGAAATTTAGCATTATATCACTAGCTCACAAATTGATCCTCTGCAGTGAATGAGAGTCCAGCTGATAAAAACATCTCAATCCACACAACTCTAGTCCATTAATTAACATCTTGCGAAGAGAAAAGCTGCGTGTTTGTGATAAATCCATCAAGATATTGGAGTCTTGTGGACAAAAACAAGTTCAGTTTGGAGTGAACTCTTCCTTTAAAGCCCATTCTTCTGCATCCGTATATCATATGTAGGATATTAAAATGTAATGTTAAAATGTAAAATTGGAATGTGTTCATATAAATGTGAAAGCACAGATTCAGTTACATCTGGTGCGGCCTCAAGACATTTGCTTTGTCATCTGCAGGGTGAAGCTGATGACTCCCTCCTGAGGCTCGCAAAGAACGACAGCATTGTGGCAAAGTAAGCCCATGTCAGTAAACTGCTGTATTTTCATCTTCATCATTTTTTGGCAGATTTTAAATGCTTTTTGAAACCACTAGTCTTAAGTTTGTGGTTATGCGAAAAGATGCTTTAAACTTCCTGTAAGATTAAGTTTTCCTATTCAGCAACTGATTTCTTTGTTCTATAACCAGTAAGAGTTACAGCACAACTAAAGGATGTAAAATCCTTTGTATTGAATATTATTGTTTTTTAAGAGTCTTTTTAATAATGCAAAAGACTAATTTTAATTACTGCCATAGTATTCACTGAATTTCTGCAGTTGATCAAATGTGTGTTGTAATTGTAGACTGTTTAAATCAGACTGTGTTTGTTACAGGTGGATGCTAATTATGCTTCTCTCTAATGATTGCGTTTTTCTCTTTTCAGGAACATCTAAAGGAAGTTTCTTTGTAAAATAAAAAATAAAATTGGACACCCGTGTTTGTGTTTTTAATATATGGTGTGAGTGCTTGAGAATCATTAATGGCTGCTTGGTTTTTTAAGTGATGTGAATAATTAAAATGATCAATTATGGAATTATCAATTGCCAATTATTGTGAGACTAAATTAGAAGGGAATTCTTTTAACCATTATAGGAAAAGAGAACAAATTGTGGTGTTATGAGAGTATTTGGTCTGTATTTGTTTGTTTTTGACAGGATATGGTTTACTAAGATTTACTGTCTGTCACAATCTGAATGAGTATCAGAAGAGGCAAATTAATTTCATGTGCTACACTTGAGTGTCAAAGCAAGCTTTTGGAGAAGATTCAGCTGCAGTAGAGATAATGGCCAGATGGAGGCGCTAAAAGGAGGTGATTAGTTGGTTAAACTAATTATATTAACCATACGAAGAAGTATTCAGTGTTGGGGAGTAATATAACGTTATGTAATTTAATTACAAAAACGGAGTTACATCTGAATATTTTCACACATACAGATCTAATTGGTTTCTTTCCTAAATTGCATTGACTGTTCTAAAATATTAGACACCAATATTTCAGGAGTTTAGGACATGCTTATTCGATAACTCATTTCCTATTTGGGCTTATGTATTTATTTAAGATTAACTGTTTTTTCAAAGGCATTGTTAGATGCCAGTGTTTCCTGTCATAGCTATGCAAAGATTTGATTTCACAAACAGTATCATAGCTAATAAACTATTTCTTGTTATGATTTTAAGTCATTATTTAACCTCCGAACCATCTCAAAGTAAAAAGCGCTGTTAAAGTCTGATTTTGTGGTAGCTGTACTTTAAAATTAAATGATTATAATCTTAATTCGAGTGATGAAGGATTTTGAAAGTCTGACAGTAATCAGTGTTGAGAACTACTGTAATGTTAACCCTGCCTGCTTTAAATGTTTCAAAATGATTAACCGTTGAAAACTCGTTAGAAATTTAGAAAAGTAATGAAATGTAATCAGTTACATTACTTTAATAAAGTAATTGAAATAGTTACACTACTTATTGCATTTTAAATAGGGTAACTTGTAATCTGGAACCTCTTACCAAAGTAGCCTTCAAAACATTGGAAGTAATGCTCTATAAGAACAAATGCTTAACGCACATTTCGGAGTGCACACAGTGTCTGGTTTTATAGGAAAATGCCGTTTTATAACTAAAGAAAGGTTACTGTGTGTGTGTGTGTGTGTGTGTGTGTGTGTACTGGTTTATATATCCTGGGGGGGACTTAAACCTGAATACACACAGACTCATGGGGACTCGTGTCACGGTGGGGACCTAAATTGTGGTCCCCACGGGTACAAAAGCTTATAAATCATACAGAATGAAGTTTTTTGAAAATCTAAAAATGCAGAAAGTTTCCTGTGAGGGGTAGGTTTAGGGGTAGGGTTGGTGTAGGACAATAGAATATACTGTCTGTACAGTAGAAAAACCATTACGCCTATGGAGAGTCCCCACAAGGATAGCTGACCAGACGTGTGTGTTTCTTTTTTTTCTGATATACCCATCTATTTTTAGTAAAAAAAAATAAAATAAAAAAAAGTCTATACACGAAATATTTGGGGACACTGATAATAGGCTATAACGACGGGCCTTCGTCCGGTAGAGGTCATGTTGAGCTCAAACAGGCTCCGCGCTGCCATTGTGCGCCAATGACTCGAATAGCTTCTATGGGCCGCATAAGGTTCTTCCTCTGGAGGACGATTGGCGGCCCAGAAACCCGAAACCAGTGCTGCATTCAAGTCTGATAACACTATAACAGCATTTAATGCCAATATATGATATAGATGAGAGTAAAGTTACGCCCTTTGCCACTGTTTTTGAATATTAATCGTTTAAAGTTCATCTTATTCGGAATACTTGAAAGATGTTGTTTCTATACCAAACTGGAAATTCCTTTGGCGTGAAAATTGTTGCAAAATACACTAAATGTATTTTTCAAAATAATATTCATATTTGTGTACTTTTGATTAGATTTCAAATAAATAAATGTTACTTCACTAATAAAACCCCGAACTTTGTGGTGTTGATAAATTCCGTCCGAGACTGAATAATTTATAATAATTATAATTTATATTTATGCATTTAGCAGACGCTTTTATCCAAAGCGGCTTACAGTGTATTCAGGCTATACATTTTTTTTTTACCAGCATGTATGTTCCCTGGGAATCGGACCCACGACCTTTTGCGCTGCTAACGCAATGCTCTACCACTGAGTCACAGGAACACTAAATAAATTAAAGATAATAATAAAAAAATTGTGAGTTGAAATGTATGTGACTTATTTATATACCCAAATTGTATATTTTTGCTTTTTTTATGCCTTTTTTTCTTCTTTCGGAAATATTGGTGTTGTATAATTTTGTTAAAAAATAAAAAGTACGCCGTGAATAGTTCAATTAGAAGAGGGCCAATAAGAAACAACATCCGGTAGATTAAGCCCCGCCCATCGAAGAACTCAAGTCTCACGCTAATTGCCGTTCTAGTCGCGTACATTATTTCTGCGCTTCAATGGCTGTCCTCCTGCAGACACACTGAGGATTTGCAATCCACGCGTGGAAGAATGATTAATCTCATACTGCATGCACGTCTAATTTGATTGCATGTTTGATTCAGTTAAAGGCTGCATTTCCTCTCTAATGCCGGGAATTATTTCCAGCTTTAATCGACCTTACACAAGATAACCTCAAACTAGAGGAGACATACTGTCTGTTTGACAGCTCTCAAGTGCATCTTGATTTTTTATATATATTTTTTTCTGTATGTACGACGACTTTTAAATCCAAAATTATTTTTATATTTCGTCTATAATCGTCGGAGCAACATTTAAGCCTGTTGTTATAATAATAATAATAATAATAATTGCAAGTCCAAATTTGAAACGCGTCTCGGACAGCTTGTACTTTGCGAACTGAATCCGAATCGTCGCCGCTTCATTAAAACACAATAGCAGGGCTAATCTAGATTAATTTTTGTTCAACATTTCAGACTCGGATGCCCACAGCGCCTGTATGGGAGTGAAACTCTCCCACACGGAAGTGACTTACACACGTTAGGCCAGTGATCGTTTGTGTTTTTCTAGGTGAATTTATATTAGTTGCGTCCATTGAATTAGTTATTAAAATGATTCCTGACAAGGCACCAGGCGAGGAAGTGTTACACGCTTCAGGAGACTTGAAGAAACAAGCGCACATCCCCAGCTTTGAGAAATACAAAGAGCTCTACATCAGATCTGTCGAGTCTCCTGAGGGTAAGCTTCATTGGGCACTGGGCAGGTCATTAACAGATTAAAAGCTTTTTGTTTTTATTATTAAAAACAATTTTTTTTGTTTGTTTTTAATAATAAAATCTTGTTAATATGATTGTTGTTGTTTTATTATTAAAATACTTTTTTTTTTTTTATTCATACTTTGTCCAGATGCACTTCCTAGAAGAAAAAAAACCACCACATGCCCTTATGATATGCTTAAAAACATTACCCCCTGTTTATAGTAATACAAATAAAATATTGTAATAGTGTGTTTTGTTGTTATTTTTAATAATAAACATATTAACAATTATTGTTGTTTTTAAATACTTAAAAAAAACTTTATACTAGTACAATTGAAATATAATGTTTTTAATAATAATAATAATAGTACATCATTCATGCATTTATTATTGTTGTTGTTTTTATTTAAAAAAATACTTTTAATAAATAAAAGTCCTTACTTAGACCAAATGCACTTAATTCCTAGAAAAGACACAACCATTTTATTTAATTATTATTATTATTTTTTTAAAACCATTTTGCTCTGGATACACAAGTTATGAATCAGCTGTGCATAAATATTCTGGTGGTTGTTGTTTTTATTTAAAAAAATACTTTTAATAAATAAAAGTCCTTACTTAGACCAAATGCACTTAATTCCTAGAAAAGACAACCATTTTATTTAATTATTATTATTATTTTTTTAAAACCATTTTGCTCTGGATACACAAGTTATGAATCAGCTGTGCATAAATATTCTGGTGTGTTCGTCCTGTTGTGTCCAGAGTTCTGGGGAGATGTTGCCAAAGATTTTTTCTGGAAGACAAAATACACCGGGAAGTTCCTGGACTACAATTTCGATGTGACCAAGGGTGAAATTTTCGTTAAGTGCATGGAAGGTGCCACAACCAACATCTGCTATAATGTTTTGGACCGCAACGTCCATGAGAGGAAACTTGGTGACAAAGTGGCTTTTTACTGGTTAGTATTTGTGAATTATGTGGTTTAAATGTTTCAGTTTAGCCCAAAAGTTGTGCATGTGACATTAAGTCTTTTCTTGTATTTTGAGAGCAGTGTTAGTGTTTTGAATTTCAATGCGTCTACTTTTAACTGTCATTTTAGCCAATGTTGTTACAGTACAGTACAGTACACGTAATACCTCTGAATCGACATTGGTTTATGATGATTTCTCATGGTTTCAGTCTACAACCTTTCAGTAATCAGCCCAGTTCTTTAAGCACAAGGTTAAACCACGGTTGTATTCGGGATATTTGGCCACAAATCTACTTGGTTTAGATCCCTTCCAGGTTACCTGAGTCAATATAACATTACTGGGCCTGGGCTATTAATACATTAACATGGCAAACACTGACAGACAGGGGTAAGTCAGAGCAAAACAACTGAGATAAATTTAGACTGTCAGGCTGTTTTAGTAAATCATGGAAGCTTGAACCATGTCCCGCCAATAGCGCTCCAACCAGAATGAGGTGTATCTGCAGTGTTGCGTCTTCATAGTGTCATTTCTTCATGTGCATTGCAATGGATCACTTTATCTGTGCTGGATGCTGTCCATGCAGTTCATGAGGACTTTTTTTTTTGGCAGTCATTGTTCATTAGCATTCAGATCTACAAAAATAGCTTGTAAACTCTTTACGTGCAACAAACGTTGTCTGGGGCAGTTGCTAGTTCTCTGCTTTCGCAATGCCAGTTTAGCAATTGTGAAGTTTTCGATCGTTTCTTGTTACGACATAAGTTCAAATCATTTCAGAATTCATTTTGAAATGCTCAAGTGTGGATCTCTTCTGCAGTTGTTGTCTTTTGCCAGACTTTTGCTTTCTGTGTCAGAGCTCGGTTCTATTTTAAGAATGTCAGCTGACATACAAAGTCAAAATAAAAAGCTACTTATTAACCTGTAGGGGACATTTAAGGGCACCTCTCACACCAAAATAATTGTTTTCAGCAGTTTACAGCAATTGAAACATATCAGAAACATTGAGAGTGAAAACTGAACATACAGGTGAATGCATTTTTTGTTAAACTGCCCAGTGTCTCATGTTCATACTTTGCTGTTGAACACAAGTGTCAGTATACATGACTGGTAAATGAATGAACTTTGTTAGAAAATATGTTGGAAAGTTGTTGTTGTTTTTTTAAAGAAGTCTGTTATGCTTATCAAGGTTGCATTTATTTGGTGAAAAGTACACTAAAAACTAATATATTGTGAAATATTATTACAATTTAAAATAACTGTTCTCTATATTTATATATTTTAAAACGTAATTTATTCCTATTAGGGCTGTGCAATATATCGAAATTATCGCAATATGCATATCGCTACAGCTTGCAATATTTGGGGCCATGAACAAAAGACAAAGAGAAAATCACTCTCTGCTCTTACCTAAATAACTTTTGTATCTTAAATAAGAATCAGTGCATATTGAATTCAAAGAGTAAATACTAAGCAGTGTTTTATTTTTCCTTTTTATTATTCAGTTCCTAAACTCATGTTAAAATAATTACACTAATGTTAAAATGACATTTTTATGTAATATTAGAGTAAAACACTACCCTTCACTTTCAGAAGTTGTTGTAGGGGTGCTTTCTTATTAGAATCAGAATCAGAATGAGCTTTATCACCACTTAAGTGTGCGCAAACAAGGAATTTGTTG